CAGATCAGAATAAAAGACCATTTAACTACATATCCTGGCTGTGAGACTGTCCAGTGGCAAATTCCTTGTGGAAGATACAAGAGCATGGAAGTATGTAGTCAATCCCTCCAAATATTCTTTTAGCTTCAAGCAGCCTGAGAGAATCTTTGTTGAATCTTTGCATTTAATTGTTCTTCCTCTGCAGTTTCTCTGTCCAGTTATTTTATGAAACCACATAAATGCTTTTTACTCACACTCCCCTGAGGGTTTCCAAAGGATGAAGGCATGCTGTGTGAAGAAGCCTTGTACTTTTTTTTGTACCTATCTCTTGTTCTGATATCTTTCGAAAAAATAGTGAGCATTAATTTATTTTCATCTCTTTCATTCCATTCAGTTTTTATAATACCTATTTACTATATCTACTACATCTTCCCTCACCTGTCATCTCTTCTCCAGAGGAGGCATTGTTCCAGGCAGTTGGAAGCCTGTGTCACCAGGTGTCTTTCAGAGGAATTTGGAGAAAAATAAAATGGGCCTAGAGTGGGCAATGGGAAGCACCAATTGGCTTCAGAAGGGACCTCCCCACACCATCATCATAGACTCATAGAATCAGTAAGGTTGGAGAAGACTTCTAAGATCATCTAGTCCAACTGCCACCAATATTGCCCATTTAAACCGTGTCCTTAAGTACGATGTCTACTAAGAACACTTCCAGGGATGGTGACTTTACCACCTCCCTGGTCAGCTTGCTCTCAACCAGCAGCAGAGCCTAGCTGACCAGTGTGTCCCATCTGTGTGGCCATGAGTGCTCCCAGCCCCTCAGCTACCCAGACCTGTCAGAAAGCAAGGGTTTGTTGCTGACTCTCCACTGGGACTATCTCCCTCCCTTCCGACACATGGACTGCCTGCCTGGCAGTTTTTGGACTGTGTCTAACACTGGTTAGCAGCATGGAGACAGACTCTGGCCTACAGATCAGCTTCTCAGCTAGACCTTGGACTTGCTTGTCATTACAATCTTTCCTGATGACTTGGTCTCGCAGCTGAATCTGGCTCCCATCATTGGGCCTGCCCTGCTCATCTTGCATGGACACTGTTGTTGGACAGGCCCTGTTTGCCAAGCCCCTGTACTACCAGCTTTGTTCTCTCTCTCATCTCCTGGCTCCCTGTTACTTAGGGACTAGATGGCTCCCTCTCCATGGTCAGAGAGAAGAAAGATTTTCCATCAAAGCACAGCATCTCTATACCACCATTCAAGTCCTACTCCAGCTGGTGATAGGAGTATACTATAGGCCACCTGATCAAGGGG